CTCCCGCCGCATCATCTTCGCTTTGCTTCGCTTTGACTCGCGCTTTTTTTGGTACGCTTTACTTAGCGCGCTACGTCGTTGTTCGACGCGTTGCTCTCTTTTTTCCCCCGACACCCTTACTGAATTTCCAGTTTCCCCTTCGCGATGTCCCCGGTCTTCTGCCACCACCTCGCGACGGCACCGTAGGGCGAGGATAATTTCGGCCGAATATGGAGCACCTCGAACGAGCAGAGGGTGCCTTCGCGGGAATCATACCGCGGCGGTCGCCCCCAAGATCGATTAATCTCCATTACAAACTGTTCTAACTGCGTGCCACGGTTTTGTCGTCGATTCTAATTACCCCTCGTTAGCGGGCGCACCCCCTGCCTCCTTCAGCGGGGTTCTTTTCGCGACAGGAAAAAACATCGGGGAGAATCGATGATTCAGTTGATACCGTAAGTGAATAGAGACGATGCTTGGGTCGACGATTCAGAACCTCTGGCTCGTAGATCCAGCAGGAACAAGAAGGGACTCTTCAACCGTTGGGAACCGTTCATACAGTGACACAAAGAAAAAGGGAGCGAAGCAAAAACCATAGTACAAGGACGAGTGCTCTCGAGCAGAGCCCGATATGTTTCTCCGGGAGAAAAAATATTCTCTTCGGTATCATCGACAGCGGTGGTGGCATGGTGAATGGGGAAACGTTGCGATAAAAAAACCATGCTCGAGTAGCTGGCGGTAAAACGCAGAGACACGGAGAAGAGGCGCGGATGAATTCTTGTCAGGAGAGAGGAGAGAACAGAGAGGGGCAGGGCAAGAGTGGGTAGCGTGGGGACCGAATAAAAAGTACGGAGAGCGTGTTAGTCGTGATCCGACAAGCCGTGCGTGTTCTGCAGCTTTTCGGCCGACAGTTTGGATCCCAGCAGACCCGCGCCAGCTCTCCCGTTCCTAGGCATGACGGGTATAAATTATGCCGCTGGCCTATTTACATGGCTGCCATCCTGGCCAACTCGACCCGGTCGCTCTTCATAGCAGAGATACCTACTTACGTACATACGTACGTGTGTGGTCCTCTGCATTCGGCTCGCTCGATCGTCGTGAGAGAAGGAGGGTGGAGGGGGAGGGGGTTAAAACCGATTCACGGCCAACCAGAAAAATTCTGGAAACCGCGCGACAGGATGGACGTCCTACTAAAAGCGAAGAACGTGGTCACGCCACGGCTGCCTGACAACCGTGCTTCCACCTGTGCAACGTGAAGCTTTATTTCGGCTAAGATACGAGGTGCGATGGTCGTGGTCGAAGACGATCAAACATTGGCTTGAGACGAATTCTGCTAGTTCGTGGTTTTATGTATTTTCTTATGATTCGCGAATAATGATAGTAGGAAGATTAAAAACTGGCGGAATATAAAGTAGTAGAAGTAATAAAAACAGAGTAATTTAAGAATTCGGAAAGGGATGACGACTAACAAAATTTGCATAGTAATTCTAAGAACAGTATAGTAATTCGTCTGGTAATTCTTAGTATTTGAATTTCATTAAAAAAATGTTCTTTCTTAATTCTTGAGATATGGTAAGTATGATAGAGAGATATAAATATTCATACAGAGTATAGAACCGTATGCGTGTGATATAGATTACTATAATGCATAATCATGTTTATGTTTTAAATATCGTCCTGTCTAGTAAGTAGATCGCGAAAGATTGAAGATTTGAATTAACCAATTTGTATTAACGAAGCTTATGATGGAATGCAAGCTTCCAGCCGAACATGATATCTTCTTAAAATATGATAAATTCTGTTTAAAACAGTACAAGATTATTTTGGTGGAACGTGATGTTTGATTTGATAAATGATCATTATTTGAACCTCATATTCCTCGAACTCGTATATCACATTCTATAGGATCATTTATGAAGATGTTTGAACGTCAAACGATTAACTGTATTGTATAGAAACTTTTTATAAAAATAGTATTATTTTGTTTGCCATTGATCGGACATTTCTCGTGTAGTATACGTTTGCTTAAAATAAAAAAAATAATATGGTTTTCTCAGAATCATACAAATCGTATGAACATCGTGTAAACATTAGCGAGACGTCAAAATAAAATTTCACCTACTCGTACTCATATAATGGATTATATGCAAACGAGCTTTTTCCCTTGTCCCATATCAACATATATGCAAGAAAAGTGTGTAGATCATAAATTCTCTGGTCTCAGAGGGTGAGCAAAAAGATCTTATGAATTTTTAACAATAAGTGACAGTGATATGTGCTCCGAGCTTTTGAGCGTCGGTAAACAGTAAGAAACGCGCGAAAACAAAGTAGCTCCGAAAATAAAAATCGATTCTCGTTGAACTCAAGAAGACACGAACAGATTACTACACGTGCAACCGAAACAAATCACAGAAAAGTAGAGTAAAAGAAATCTTGTCGTTACTTTCGTTTTATCAACATTTTATCAACATTTGAGAGTTATTCTATTGATTTCTATACTATTTGTAAAGCTACTATAATTATGTCGTCGATCTTATTTAATTAAAGAAATTACCTTTACAATCACGTTATCGTTATCACGCTACTTTAACGAAAATCCGTTTCATAAAAACTCAATAGCTTACGTGAGATACATTTTAGAAAAGGTCAACAAATTAACTTTAAAAGGCGAGAGATCCAGCGTCGTCTCTTATTTCTTAGTCAGATTTACTCACGCTCATTTCCATGAAACTTCCTCTTTCGTCAACTCTGGTATTAAAATATTACCAGGTGAACACTGGAAAAGCGAGCGGTGCTCAAAAAGGGACGATTTCGCTGAACGTCACTTGCTGGTGCAGTTATCTCGTTAAGGAAGGAGCCATGGCCGGGAAAGGGAAGAGGAATGAAAGAAAAACAGGTAAGGATAGAGTAAAAAATTGGCGAAAACAGGGAAGAACGTTCCGATGGCGTTTAACAGCCCTGAGGCGCGACGATTTTTTTCAAAATATTTGCTTTCAATTCTGTAGGATCAGGGCACCGAGTGCAATTTGCGATTTTCAAGCGCCTATCCCGCGAGCTTTAGTTTCAAACGAGAAAAGAAAGGACGTGGACGATGAAAGAAACGACGAAGAAGGACAGAGGAAACGGCGCAGAGAGAAAGGTCGGTGGGAATGAAAAGAGAGAAAAAGGCGGCGAGGAAACGCGAAAGAAAAGCGAGAAAAATAGACGGAGGCGAGATGTATCCGCGCATTCCATTTTCCGTGTCTTTCTTTTCTGCCTCTGCGCCAACCAGACAAAGGTTCTTCCGGAACTCGCAGCCAGGTATTCTCCGGACCAATTAGAAACGGGGTGTCAAATGGAAACTTCGAATGAATAACCACTTTCCTCGGGGATGAGGAAGAATTATATTCTCGCCTCGTATCGAAAACGAAACTGTGTTGCGATAAATACGTCGGTCGACTGATCGCATTGTAATCGTTAATCGTCTCGATTGAACGACTGGGACGATTCTTCCGTTCTGGGGTTCAAAAGGGGGAAAAAAACAACAGAAGTATCGAGAGACGAACGCCGTGAAAGAGAGACAATCGACTTTTCGTGCAAAAGCAAAATGATCCGCGAAACTGGGTTACGAGACACGTAGATCCTATTTCCTGGCGTGTCCCATTGTGAGCAGCAAAAACTGGCAAGAAAATGCTGCCACTTCGATCTTCCACTTCTCTAACGATACTTTGAATCGTTCGCGCCCAGCGTCTTCTTATTCGCGTGCTTCCGATCTCCGGCTCGTTAAATATAGTCCACGATCGCCGAAACGGGGCGACTATTTCTCTGCGGGTGAACAATGGCCGCGACATGATTGATCGATCGACAAAAGAAAATTTCGAGAAAATTTTAACGCGGAACAAGTAGAGAGAGAATTTGAAATTTTTGGTTATTCTTCTTCGAGTTAACACAGGAAATTGAATATCGACGTGAAATATTCGTTCGCTTATACGTTGCACATGTTATACAACTCTTGGTGTAACTTAAATAGTTTCATTGAGAACGTAGAAGAAAAAAAGCAAGAAATTATTGCACGGAAAATCAAAGAGCAGTCAGCTGCTTTAATTACGGGACATTCCAAAAATTATTCCCATTTCTCGTTCAGTGTGTATAAAATCACGTTTATTCCTCCAATTCACTGACTTCGCCTACACAATTCATCTGGAATAGAAAACCCGAACCTACGCGATCTTTTATTCCAGGCACTTGTTATTCGCACCCACGCTTTCGCCGAACATTCACCCCTACGGGAAACAAAAGTTGTTGTTGCATTATAAGCTGTATTCGATATATAAGCTGAAAATTCGAGCGAATATAAAACAGAGACGATCTTCAAGGCATAACCTGCTGTATTTTATTTGGAACCGGACCAAAGCATACATAAAATAACTAATAAAAATAGTCAATAACGAAACAATTTTACACGATCGAACGATTAATCGTAACAGTCGAGTCCCATTACAGTACCAATAAAAGACCAAAATTTTCTGTATAACACACATAACGCAATTCTATAAAAGATGTCTACGAATTTTCGAATACTTTCTATTTGCCATAAATTTACAGGTCTCTTTTTTTAGAAAGCTTGTCGATTCTATCGCCAAATTTTACCAAGAAGATCGTCTATTGTAATAGAAATAATAAACGAACCACGACCTGAATCGCATCAAAGCGATTAAGGTGGAAAATAAAGTTTACAACGTCTCGTGCAGGCGTCCGAAATTGGATCGATGAGAACGCCGTCTTAAATGGTCGCTGAAATATGTAAATTGATAAACGGGCCGCTTTAAATTTGTCAAATCGTGTTTCCTCGGCATTCGATTGGCCGGAAACCGATCCTGGATCGTTAGGACCAGTTCCCGGGGACGGAGATATGGTTGGCTTGATCACTGCCACTTGGCTCAATGAATTAATTACAGTTAATTGGCAATTACCACCTTGCACCGCCTCGCGACCCTGATAGGTTGGCGCAGTGACGCTGCGGAGGAAAATATATTTTCTTCGTAATGCGATCCTGCGCCCCGGTGTTCCGCGTTTTCTGGCCCCGAATTGATTTAATAAACGCTTAACATCATCCTCCCCTCGCTCTTCTATCGCCCTGTGGCTCTCTTTTTCTCCCTCAATTTATTGGATTGACAAGTTATTAATTCGACAACGAGTAAACCGTGCCGAAGTTATTTCTGTAACAAGCTTTATTTATAATTACTTTTATCGATATGATCGCTTAATATAAAGTTTCATCGATGGAGATGACGACGAGAGACTAGTTACCCGAGAGGAAATGAAAATCCTGTGTGCACGGGGTGAATGGCGTAATTTACCATAGTTCTCTTTGTTAGCAGCGAAGTGATACTACTTTTCCACTTTTTTATTTTCTTTCTTCGATGTTGTTTTCTGTCGCTCGATACCGGACACAAGCGGCTCCACAAAGGCCAATTGAACTGATTTTTCAATTAGAGCGATATCTTTCGAGATCTATGCAATTTCCACGACACAATTTTCAATTTAACCGCTAGCACTCGAGGTGACGCGTCAGTTGAAAAAAAGAATAGGAACTCGAAAATATTAATTAGATAATATTTTCTTAATTAAGTGAAACCAATTAACTTTCGTTTAGTATGGCTTTCCTCATTCTCGTGACGTCTGGTTATATCAAGCACGGACCATTAAATACAACATTTGAATGGGAAAGGAAAATAAATTTCGTACCAGGTTGGAAACAACTCTCAGTACAAACTATCATGTGTCAAAAAAGAAAAAGAAGGAAAAAGATAAGACGAAATGAAAATTATAGGAAACCTAAGAAATATACACTTATTTTATTATCCAACGAGATATATTAAACAAATTATTAAAAAATTACTTTGGAGAAATTATCGTTGAGAAAGGATATTGAAATTGCGACCCATTAAGACCAAAGATATTTTTTAATCTGCCGATCCAACAAGGATGATGTAGTAAAAAAAGGACAGTCACTCACTGTATATCAATCACGTTACCCATGTCACCCATTACAATTACGGTAAAACTCCGTTTATATGAATTTGATGAGAGATAATTTACACAATTCCAGTTCATATAAAAGGAATTTACGTTCAAATAAGTACCAAAGACGAAAATTCCACTCAAATAAACGGAGTTCATATAAACGGGATTATACTATATTATTTCTTATATTATATTAGACTAATCGTATCTTTGTTAACAGAATTTAAAAAATGCAACCTAGATAGAGATTTGTTTCGCGTATTAAATATTAATAACGCGTGTTTTACTCTACTTCGTATACTTCTTGTGTATTTCTTTCCAAACATTCTACTTATTACGACTCACTTCTGCATAAAGTCAGTTTAACTTTAGTCGGTTTACAATCGATAATTTAGCATTCCACAATCTACGTAACGTTTTCTTTTCATTGCCATAAAATAGATTTGTTCGTTAATAAATAATTAAACCCAACGAATTACACCCAATAAACGTAGTCGTTCTCTTCCAAAAAATACTCGACGAAGGAAAGTCGTCTCAAAACAATTCCAAATGTCTCAAAAACGAAAAGCTCTCGGTGTCGAGATCGGAACGAACCCGAGTCGACGATAAAACGATTTCACGGGGCTATGAAAAGTTGGAAAGAATATGTAAAAAAGTAACCGCGAGGAGAGAGAGAAAGAGACAGGAGTAAAAGAGAGGATTCGAAAGGTGAGTAGACGAGATACTCATTAAGAAATACCTGCGACGGGACATATTCAAAGGGCGATGGTTTGTCACGTCATTAGGCCGCAGCCTAATTTACTTTTTCCCGCGTTTCGTTTCACTTGCTTTTCCTCGTCGGCGTCGTGCCGGCCTGGACGCGAATCTAAATTAAATCCGTCGCTGAAAAGCATGCCTGTATACATAAGGATCCCGACACTCGAGGACACATGAATGAAGAGAAGGACCAGCTCGCGCGTTTTCGCATTCACCGTCACGCGGCCACGTGTACGTGTGCGGAGGTCGCGCGCGCAACGCCACGTAACGTCGCCGATTCAGCGACGCCAAGGAGGCATGAATAAGCGGTATTATACTTACGAAGGTAACACGTTCGCTGTGCGTTAACGCCTCGACGGAAAAGTCGTCACGAGCCGCCTGACGATGTAACGAACGCTCGTGATACCCACGTGTGCACCTACTCGCTGTAACCACGTCCATTTCCGTTTCTGTTTATTCGCCGATGAAGCTTTGCCGGTCGTTTGTCGCTTTCTCTTTGTAGTCGAAGAATTTTTACGTTTCACGAAATCCATTGGGAACATGGGCTGGAAGAAAGAAAATAGAAAATGTAGAGATTATCCCGTAACCGATGGTGCGATCAGAAACGGATGGATTTACGTGAAAACTGAGATTGAAAAATATGGAATAACATTTTTTGATGCGAGACAGTGTTTATGAAAAAATCGAACTTAAATATTTGATTTCACTGCGCTCGGATTTTGCATATGGACTGAGATTACATAAAATCGACCGTGCATTTTAAAGAAACTATCATCGCAAAATTGTGTTCGTAAAAATGAAGAGCACAATTAGGAGTTCAAATGGAAAACATCTTTAATCGTTCTGAAGTAATGAATTTTATCTTGCGCGAGTATTAGTACTATTCTATTGAATATTTCCCATTGCTCAATGTGATAAGTACAAACTTAGATACGAGATAAGTAGACATAGATAAGTATATGCTAGGCAAATACTTGAAGTCAATTCGCTAGAAAATATATGTATCAACAAATATAAAATCGTATGCTTGAATTAATTTCAAGTCGTCTAGTTCAATTAATTATATGGTCAAGCAGTAAAATGTAAGTTCTAAGTAGTACAAGTATAGCGACGTCGGACGGTACTGCTTTAAGTAGCTCGAATCTATCAATATCAGACGTGTACGATTTACAACTCTTAATGGCCGTTTATAAATGCTTTAATTGTTAAGTAGCATAAATGAAACAATTGAAAAGTTATTGAGAGCAATTTCAATTTCAAGTAGGTAGTATAAATCTACCAATGCAACGTGCAATTATATAACAAGCTTGCCCTATTCTCTTTGTAGGATTAAACGCAATTTCCAATTTTCTGATTATCTTCTACGAAACGATACTGCCCATAATTAACATAACACGATATCATCATCTCTTAACCACCTTCTATACATTTCCAAAAACTATACATCGCTACCACTTTCTCGTCCCGCACTATATCCTTTCCGTGTGTAACAACGTATCCGACCGTCAGGATTAGAGTCAACACGATCTAAAGCAGCTTATCAACGTGATTAACGCAAAACCGAGAGTGAGAGAGGCTTTGGGAATCGAGGGTGATCGTTAATTAATAGGCTTGTGAAATTCAGCAGCGATCTTACGAGCTGCTTGCCAATGAACGAACCGAACGAAGGAACGAACGTCGTCCGAGAAATTAATCAAACATTAAACCCCATAAATTTTGCGAGCCCTCCATCGCACATTAAATACGATAAAGTCCGTTGGTGGCTAAGCTATCCAGGCGGTTGTAACGTGATTAATTAATGTACCCGGTAAAGTCGACGCGTCGAAATGAACACACGTAACCGATGTGCTCGCAATTAACAGAATTATGCTTGCCGGTGTCTGATACTCCATTAACAGAATCGATCAATCGTAATGGCGGTGAAGTGGCCCGCTCCAAGGCCATCTTATCCCATGTTAGGAGCTCGCAAGGGTTAAGCACCGGAATTATGGTGGCGGCGATAATTAACCGTGAGGTTTCGAGGTACCAGCTATCGAGTATTAATTAATTATACGCACGCCCGGTCCCCATTTTCATTACATCGATATGTCGATTATATATTCGCCTAAATTCTCGGAAATACATGCCGAATAGTCGTTAGATATCCGAGATAAGTCGATTTCACGGTGAAGAACGTATACCGTAGGAGGAATTTCGGAGATGATTGTAGCGGAACCGTGGCCGACCAGATTTATTCGAACCGATGAGCGTTTATTATGCGTTTTGATTAAAAACATTGAGTTGCTAAACCGATATCTGTCAGACGTTAATACTTTAAACTGGCTGATACTTGATATTTTACCCTATCTAATTTATATTCAACTAGTTACAGCTGTGCATAATTTGATTACAGCGATTTCAGTTTTCCTACGTAAACTATAGGAGCACAATTTACAAGTGAAAATAAAAACGATATTACACATGCATAAAATCTTACTATAAAGTTATAAGTAAATATTTACCTTTTTCTTATTTTTATTTATAGACTATGCTTCTGTAGTCCGATCAGAAAAATTCAAGATAACCTGTATTGTCATTATTTTATATCCAATGATTTCTCTATACTGGTACATTTCTTTCTCGAATATGTTTTATATCCTACAAGAGACAGGAATAAGATAAATAGATCCTGTGGACAGCTCTTGTATTTTTCGGTTTATATAATAAAACAATGTTTCCTTTCGTTCCTTTTCCACTTACAATACATGATATTATTCCCCAAAATAATTTCCATTTATTCAGAAACATTCTCCTAATATCTGTTCAAATTATACACATATATGTATCCATTTTGTAAAATTCGATCGCTTCTTTTATAAAGAGTTATGTTAAATAATTTTGTAGAAGCATTCCCAATGAGCTGTATGCTGTGTTTAAGATTCGTTCAACTCAAATAATGCAATGCATCCTATCACAAGGATAAAAGATCAATCTCGGTGAGAATATACGCTGAAATGATTTCTAGTTGCGCGCGTGAAGTTGTCGGAAAGATAGATACGCGATGTAAACACGCACTGTGTACATAAACTGTAATGAAATTTAAGGGAGCTCTGTATGATGTGTAACGAGATTTTGGGGGTGCAGCGCAACCGAAGTGGAGCTACTAGATCAGCGAGTTATTATTGCATTAGATGAAGAGTTGATGTTGGTACGCAAACTTGCATAGTAGCTGTTTTAGCTGAAAGTTTGTTGCTCTTGAAATCGTTTATTAAATTTACAATCGAGGATTTAACTGCCAACTAAATATGAAAAACGATTATCGATGGGAATGAAATTAATCAGGAAATTAATTAGGAAATTAATCAGAAATTCATAAAAGATAAAATAATATGACAATATAATGTTCAAAGAACGTAAAATAATATGACAATATAATGTTCAAAGAACGTAAAATAATATTATAATGTAATATTCAACGACGATCAAGGCAAAGTACAGGTCAGCGCAAGAGAAATGTCTAGATATTACGTACACGACCACACGCTTCTTAATATTCCTATTTGGTGACGGCTATTAGGCGAGTAAATAATCGTGCGAACTCTCGCGTTTCCATTTCTCTCGTGCTACGCGAAATTGTGCGGTAAAATGGCATCGTTCCAGCTCATTGCGTTGAGTTATACGTCGTTGGATCGAAGATACGAGTCCTTACGAAGTGTTACAAAATTAAATAATCATACGGAGCTGATATGTGACGAACGTTCCGTAAAGAGATCGTGAAATTTTAACGTTTTCTATAAATATAACAAACAACGAAACATGATAGGATATCATCGAATGTCTTAAAAATACCATAAACGCAAATTTATAGCAACTTGATACAGAGAAAGCGAACTAAGGAGAAATAATTGAATGGTTTGCCAAGAACCTCCGTAAGTTGCACCAAAGAGTTTAATTTAACAACGACCGCAGTTCCAACGGATAGTTAGAGTTGTTAAGCCGGAATGGCGAAAAGGTTTCGCTTCTGTCACCGTCTCAAGGACTTTCGAGATTATCATCAGCGTTCTTTGCTGGAACACGGAAAAGCATAACCGTAACGAATCAAAAGGCATAAATCAGTAATGTTCCTTTTCATTCGACAAACCAGATTCGCGTGTAGACGACGAGAATTTTCCACGCAAACCTCCCAGAAAGATATGCGTCAACCGTTAACGAAGTTTTAATTAATTTTACGTCAGAAGGCTTTTTCTGCTGTAGCTCTTCAAAACAGAAGAACGGTGTATGTGCAATGACGGGTCAAGGCTTAAGAAACTTTCTTTATTTTTCCTGGCGAGAGAAAAGATCAAACTTCCTAGAGACGCCAAGCTAAGAATACTTCAAACATTCCTCCGTCAATTGTTTCAACTTTCGGATAATCGAAAACTTTGAAACGCCGCTAGAAAGGTGTAAACATAAATGAGCAGATGATGACAGGAACTGATAAAATTTCTTGGTAAGTAAAATATAACGCGCAAGAATAAACCATAATCTGCATAATAATAGGCGACGCGATGTATACTACTCGTATTACGGAATACGCGTTCTTTAAACATGCATGCATGTTTGAGTGCACGCGAGTATAAATTAAAATAATTAGCCATGAAACAGACGGATACATAAATGCACATAGCAGGTACAGAATGTAGGGAAATGACTCATACGAATAATACGAAAATCTACATTAGCACGATTACGTTAACGCGAACTTCTAAAATTGTTGTGACAACATCCGAGTCAGATCTCGCTAGGTAAAACTTAGATTCGTTGAGTTTTATTGGAACTTGAACCGTGTTGGTATCACTCTGTTGGCGTCAACGCGAAGAATTTATGACTTGGATGAAATTTCGGAATCTGAATGGAATTATTTTGAAATTATCATGCCGAATTAATAAGACACCAGAATCATGAAACCCAAGTAACGACATATTAAAATCTTAAAACTCGAATATTGGTATTCTAAAATTAGGGGTTCGTGCCATGATACATTAATGTCATGGGACTCAAATAACGAGATAATGGAGTCATGGGACTCTAAGACGCTATGTTAGAGTCGTTAGAGCAAGATGGTGACACAATAGAGGCAAGGGACCTATATAATAAAATACAGGAGTTATGGAACTTTGATGACATTCTGGATTTGGGATTGATTAGCAGCTTCCGCGTCCTCTTAGAAATATTTGTATGTACTTGTTACTAATTACTAGTTATGAAAATTACATTCTTGTTGAAGCACATAACAGGAACGCTTTCTGTTTTAATTTGCTTGTTTTATTATTCAAAAGAGAGCTTACCATATCAATTTTATAAAATAGACGACATGTTTTGTTGAACATTTGATCTTCACAAAACATAATTTTTCATAAGACCTTTTAATTTTACACAGTATCACGACTGCACAACATTTTTACTACCTTGACATTAGGTAAATAGTGCGCAGGCACGTTGGTGTACGAACAAATTTGAAAATGTACATAAAAGTAACAGAATATTTATTGTCACTTTACAAAGATCTATTGTCATTATTATATCT